TTGATGTACATCCCACTATATTGTTAGACTAGATATCTTTGGTTATGAAAGTGTGCCGATACGCGTTTCTGGCACAATGCCTTCCACATTTTTCGGAATGTTATGCGCTTCATATGTGGCTGCAATGTGTAATCCAAGTTTAAAGGTTTGGGGGTTAAATTGATTTAAACATGAATTGTACAAAAACGTCTACGTTCTTCAACATTCGTGTAATACTGTAGTTCTTAACAGAGGAGGAAAATAACTAATTTCAACAAATAGGAGCGTTTTTGCTGTATCTGCTAATAGATTACCTAACGATAGAACGTGGGCTTATATATTACACATTTCTTATGGATGTTTTTTGAAGGGGAAACTGCGATCATTACGTTCGAGGAAAAGGGTACTCAAATTTCAAGGATATTTTGAACCTCACCTCATCTTCACTTCCACTTTGCCTTCCTGGAGGTTGTTAAATATTTTAACAATAGAGCTCAGTGAAGCTTTCCATCCTCACCGTCCTTAGCGTCAGTGCATGTCTATTCTAACATGGATAACAGTAATCCAAGGTCTGATCCTCACTTGTTCGTATCCATGACGACGCTTCAGTGCGTCCAGATGCTGAGAGCAGATTGGCATGGAACTGGGCTTCCATTTGTTCGGATAACAAGGACACATGTATTCATGCAATTTTCACAGTGTTTCTTAGAACGTTCCACATGATGGTTTTTTATAATACAGCTAAGTTACTTATTAACGGGTGATACAGACTAGGCCCTAAAGGGATTTAGTGTGTCAAGTAGAGAAATCCGCGTCATATTAAGCTACCTTTTGTTATCATGGGGTCCGCAGTGGCCGCGCGGTCTGAGGCGCGGGCCTTGTGCCGCTGGGACCGTGGGTTCGAATCCCACTCCAGCCATGGATGTTTTTCTGTGTTGTGCTGTCCTGTGTACAGGTAGAGGCCTTGCGACGGGCCGATCCCTCGTCCAGGGAGTCCTACGGAATGTCTATAGATCAAGCCAACGAAAAGTTGGGACACGCAGTGCTCAGGCACTTGAAGAACGGGTCGTTCCCAGTATCCCAGTTTGTTATCATAATTAAAGATAATAGGAGTTATTATTTAACTAGCAAGAAGTTATTAAGTTACAATACCTTTTACTAGCACAACCAAATCTAGTCTAAGCTAAGGCAAAATGCTCTTACTGACGCACTGCTGCAACAGTCTTTTCGAAACCATGATGGGTGTCTCATGAAAATGTAAGCGTTCAACATCTTGCAGCTGACCGAATCACATGGGCCAGTTGTTATAACGTTTTGTGTACGCTGTTGGTTTAATTAATAGCGTTTTCTGAACAGAATAACTTATATGGAGCAGAATATGAAGATGCGCGTGAAGATGAGTTTCAAAGGAAGAGGTCGCGACATGTTTTTAAGTGATAAGAAAAACCACGAAAATCTCAGCCACTGTTGCCGACCTCCTGATCGAAAATCAAACCACGCACCTTTTGTGTGTGTAATGCAACGTAAAAGTAATATTCATGTCATTCTTCATGCTTATTTTTTCTCGAAAAAAATTAATCCCATTCCCTTGTTCTGCTCTTGGGTTAGCCCGACATGTATTTTATTACAAAAGCTTCTGGAAAGTTTTAATTCCCTTCTAGACTTTTTCTTCTGCACTTTAACGAATGCGTCTTGCTTCTTTATCGCATGTATTGCACGGGCTTTTCGGACTAATGGGACCTTTGCTGACGTTAACAATTTCCTACGCCGTTGTCTGTAAATCAGATGTTCATGGCAACCTGCATAGAAATTGTAAACAATATGTTCAACCACAAACAGAAGAAGGGATAGAACCATTCCAGTCCCCAGCACTAGTAAGAGTGGCGTGACCGCCTGGAAGTCTAATTGCTGGAAGTTCTGGTTAGCGGTAGATGCCCTCGATGTGTACGCTTGTCTGTAAAGCCGTTTTATGATTCCGTTACTTGACAGCTGCAAGGAGCTGGAAGCGAAACAAACAGAATTGTCAACAAGTTAAATAACGTTTAATAATTTATTTTAAGATTTGATCAGATATTTTCTTGTTAGTAAAGAATTTGGTGTAATAAAAATACATTTAAAATTCTCCAGTCTCTACGCTGAAACTACCCGGCACTGTAAATTATTGTCTACACAGTTTAGTGGTCCAATTCCATCCATCATTTTAACTATTACAGAATCATGAATACATAAATTATCCACATATTACATAAAATTTGCATAGTAATAATGTTTGTGTTTTAATAACATGTTACAAATGAACACGGAAATGTTCCCTAGGGATTATTTTAATTTTAATTTAACTTCAAATATCCCCTTCCTCCGTCTTCAGGTTGAATATGGACGAGTATGTTTCTCCAAAACGTGGGTATTTACCTACGAGTTTAGACGACGTCATAACCCAGAACAACATCGTCAGACTATTAAGAATTTATTGAACATTTAAAATGGTTTTGTACTGCTCATAGCTTAGCGTTAAGGAGAAATCTAAAGACTGAGCTCTGATACAGGCGAT